AATGCCACCCTTGTTTTGTATTGTGGTTCATTGACACATGTCTGTTCGTAGAAATGAAATATCAATTTTGGTATTTTGCCATTTTTTTAGTGTAGAAGAATATAAAAAATGTATGGCCTGTATATGTACTTGATCACAAGGACAGAGAGAGATATTTTTTTCACTTGATGTTCAAGGATATATCTCTCCAGTGAAATAGGGAAGGTCTCCCAAACCAAATGTATGTTGAGTAGATAGGCGAGTCCTGACATTTAGTCTCTTTACATACGTTAAGTCGATCAGTATAATTAAGAAGTACCCTCAAAATAAAAATGTAATGACGTGCATATCCGTCTTATTGGCTTAAATTAAATTCTATGTGTCCATATAATTCTTCAGGTGCTAATCAAGCCTTTGAATCCCAGGGCCATGAATTGAGTGAAACTTCAATGTATTTTTAATACTGTTTTGGCGCTTAAAGTGCCAGGATCCCCAGTTTAAACTTGTATGACTTGTATATTTATATCTCATTTGAAAGCAGAGTGCTGTAGGTCTCACTCCTAACTGCATGTCTCTGATGTAAAATGTATGGCCTGTATATGTGCTTGATCACAAGGACAGAGAGAGATATTTTTTTCACTTAATGTTCAAGGATACATCTCTCCAGTGAAATAGGGTGTATATATATCTTGGAAAAATACCTCAGGAAGTTTTGAGAAGATTTTAGGGATAAACAGTTATTTATTTAGGAGACAAAGATGCAAAAAAAGTAAATTTTGAGCCCTAATTGCATAGTTCTATCAATATAATTGCCGTTTTCCTTCGTAAAAGTATGTGTGTACTGGAGTGTTTTCTAATTGCCTCTAAATCATAAAAAAAATTGTTGTCAGTCTGGCAAACATCACCCTAAGATGAAGTAGTATTAAAAAAAACCCTTAAAGCACAATATGAGAACATGAGAACAAAATATGTTGTCAATATTTACCTCATAAGCATGATCTTCTTTTCAGTGGTTTGACCCATTTACCTGATCTAAACCTGACTGAGAGATAAACCAGTGATAAGTGGATGTCCTTTTAACCACAAATACGCCAGAAAACACATGACCTGTTCTCTTGTTACCCACCTTTCTGACCTACTTTACATGGCATAATATATATATATATATATATATATATATATATATATATATATTTTTTTTTTTGGGGGGGGGGGTCAGTTTTTCAACTTTCATTTTGAATGTAAATTAAGACCTCAAAGCTAAATTTAAATACCTCTTAATCTCTCCAATCTAAATATAGTAATATTATCTTAATAAGTTTATCCCTTGTTAATATTAATTCTGTTGGACCCTGAAAAGTTTTTTAATGTTTAAAAAATTTGAATTCTCTTTTTCTTGTGCTATCAACAATGAACTTCTAAATTTCAAAGATTAAAAAAAATTAAATATCAATAAAACAAAAAGGGGTGGGAGCAGGCATAATATGCTGCTGGAATAAAGTGATTTTTGCGTTTCAGGATGCCAGTTTTTGTCACAACTTTTGAACATGAAAAATAAAACAAGTAAAAAACTCTTTTTGGTAAGAAAAGTACTGTTACAATAATTATTTTTTAAAATTCTTGATGTTAACGCTGTGTACCACACTGTTCCAAGCAATTCCTTCACTATTGATGAAATTAAAGCCATCACATCCTACTTCCAGGAAAAACCCAGGAGATACAGAAGTTGATAAAGCTGAGTCATGTTGCCAAGGATCGCACCCACTCTCCGTACAGCCAGTTCAGAGTAGGTGCAGCACTGCTGTGTAGTGACGGGACTGTCTTTACTGGTAAGCCTATGACTCACTGATGAAAGGGTGGGTGGGAGGGTTAATCTTTGCGTTTGACTTCAAAGTTTGTGGAAATATTATGAGTTCTCAGAGTAACTATTAAAAAGTTTTGACTCAGATCATTGCTATGAACTGGAATTTTGTATAAAAGTGAAAGTGAAAGTAATATGTTTCAGGATGCAATGTTGAAAATGCGTCATACGGTCTGACAATCTGTGCTGAGAGAACAGCAGTGGTGAAGGCAGTGTCCGAGGGACACAGAGACTACACTGCCATTGCCATATCCAGGTAATGAAGAACAGAAAAAAAAAGCAGACACATGACAAACATAAGTGTGAATTGGAATAATGACTCAATCTTTTCATAGGAGAAATTGTGAATTTACAGATACTGTATTTTTTAAATCATGAATTTTCTTAATTAAAATATCAATTCCCATTGAAAGTCAGCAACGAAATTGAAAAGCAGGTTTACCTAGTATAGGCTTAATTAAGTTCCATTCTATATAGTAAAGGCATCACAAATGCTGAAAATATGTTTTTAATGCTATTCAAGATAAACTGAAAAATTGGTATTTATAAAAATTGAAAAGATAGAGTTATTATTATATATTTGTAAAAAAAAACAAAAAAACAGAGCATAATATAGAACCATTAATTGGCTCTTTCTTTTGTCTATTATTATTATTAATTCTTTGTATCAAAATCAAGACTGTTTCTATAGGTTTTATGATCTTTATCATTTTAGTGACCTAAAGAACAACTTCATAGTCCCGTGTGGAGCCTGTAGACAGGTTTTAGCTGAGGTAAGATAACACTGTCTGCTGGATGTGTATGGCACTCACCCCAGGCAATATTCAAGTTGGTTAATAAGCAAGTCCGATCCTCATTTTAAAGAAATTATTATTATTATCATTATTATTTTTTTTCAAGTAAAAATACTGCATTGTGCATTAGTTTCATGAGTGGGAAAAAAATTACAATTGGCCCCAGGAAATGCCTTTGTGTGAGTTTTTTATCATCAAAAATTGCCGAGACTAGAATTTTGCATTACCCCTCCCTTTGAAAAATATAAACATTCATCGACCCAAAAATTTAGCTGCCGTGTCCATTTAACTTATGTTTAAGAAACAAAACAAAACAAAAAATAAATAAATCAATACATAAAATAATAATAATAATAATAATCTTCCTAGTTGACAGAGAATTGGTGCTCATTAACCAACTTATCAACATTGTTATCCTTACGCTTTCATATACTTATAAAGAGACAAGCTAGCACTCCAAAACTATCATTGTAAAGTGCTCAAAAACTATGAATTTTTGTAACTTTATCATAAAAATTTAAGATTTAATGCTCCTTTAAACAAAAATGTAGATATTGGTGGAAAAAATAAAGTGAGTATTTACAGATATTGTGAATGGGACTACTACTACTACTACTACCTCTTTTAAAAACACCTCCAGTAACTTTGTTTGAAAACTATTTTTTTAAGCACCAAAATAAAATCTAAAAGCTTGCTGGAATATTTTTTTTCTCAGAAAAGCAGCTGCTTAATTTATAATTGAACTGTGTATCTAGAATCTGCTCAGTTGTTTTTGTGAATCAGTTGTTTGCCATATTCTTTACATTTGAACAAAATTAACTTAAGAAACATGCCCATTGGAAGGAATGAAGTTTAATTCCTGTGTTAGACAATTCATCAGTGCTAAAACCTGTTAATACAATAATATCTGTATTGCAGTTTGGGACCCACATTGAAGTATACATGACCCGCCCAGACCTGACCTACCACAAGATGACCGTTGGAGAGTTACTGCCCCTGTGCTTCACCCCAGACCAACTGACCAGAGAGAAGATAGCCGTGGTCAGTGGCCAGAATCCAGAGGGCAGCACTGTCAGTGAGATCCCCAAGCTGATCAAAAGTAATGGCTTAGAGGCGGAGGAACTTCTGAGTGGAGAACAATGATGAGAATTGTCATTGGGGGTAGTAATATTATAGTATATCGTAGTATGTAGGAGTTAAAAGGGTTTGCTTATTTTTATAGAAAGCTTTTTAAAAATAGTCACAAAGTATTTTATTCATTAAAATGAATAATCAGAGATGCAATAATATGAAGTGGCATCTAGTCATTACAGTTAATCAGGTTAATGAGGAAGCTACATGTACATGGTCACTATTTATAAAGAACTGGTCGACCTTAAAGTGCTGATTTTAGAGAGTAGGTATTTGGCTGTCCCCCTCCCCCAACTGCCCTGGCCGAAATCCCCATATACCTGTATTTTCTCTGTTTTTTAGCCAATTATGTATTGTTACAACTTAGCTTATCAGTAGTTTGCCACCAGAACAATGAGGCAGGGGCTTTGCAGAGACTGAAAACCAAGGAATGTTAAACATGTTGAAGGTTTCATGTGAAAAATTGATATTGTTATGACTAAAATGCACTGTATGCAGTCTCGACAGGGGCCAAAAAAAAAAAAAAAAAATTAGATAAGACTATTTTGAGAGCAACATTGGTCAGAGATCTTGATAGGTGTTTAAACAGCATTTTTGAGTTATAAAAAAACATTTAAAGAGATAACTTCACAGAGCATTGAAATATGCTTGTACTTCAATCTGTATGATTACTGTAATTGGTGTTTAGAAACAATGACAGAAAAATCTAAAAACTATAAGATGTTGTTCAGTATTATCAGTGCCATTCCCACTTTACACTGTTTACAATAAATATGTATCTCGCTTTATCACTATTTTATTTCAAGTGTCACGTTGGATGAGAAAGAAAGAAAAAAAGGCCATTTTCACTGCCCTAAGGTGTTATCAATTTGTGAACCATTGTTTTGATACTGATTGATTTGCTTTTAGCATTCAGTGTGTTGAATGACTTACATTTTGAGGTAACGGTTTTACTGACATTACAGTCCGTTTAGGTCAGAAAAAAAGCATTGACTGTACACATTTTTGTAGTTATTTAATTAATGTAGACGAGTGAAACAAGTGTGTTTGTACAAAATAAATGTTATATTATGTACACAACTGGGTCGTCAAACTGTTGGTGTCAAAATTGTCTGGAGAATAATTTCTTCCCAGATACATCCATTGTACATGTACTTTCTAACTGTAGTGTCACGCGATTCAAGAAACACATGCGTCACCCGTGCGGTAGTGAGACACTGTAGGAGGTGGCGCTTCTTCAGAAAAAAAAAGGATTCTTTAAACATAGTAATAACATAGATGCAGACTGCACCTTTTCCTGTCTAAAATGATTTTTGTCTCTCTTTTTTGAAACACGTTGAAAACCCCTCCCCATGCCCGTAGGCGTGTTTAATGGTTGTAAAGCTTATTCTTAGTTTTTATACTATAATTTATAGTCGATAATTTTGTATAACTTTGTGCAGAACACAATAAGATAATAACGGCACTAGTCAGAGTTTTACCATGCGTAATATTACAATCTGCAATGTGCATACTTGTATGCTTGGAAGATCATTTTTTCTCGAAGTTGAATTGCTCCTGGTCCTTAATACTTTGTTAAAAGAAACTGTAATTTTGGGCTGTCGGGCGGGTTGTGATAGACCATTTACATGTACGTCATTAAACCAAAATACTACTTCTGTCGCTCACACACACACACACACACACAGACACACGCACACACACACACACACACACACACACATTGAGCAACGCACGTGAGACAAAAATTCACACAAATAATGAAATGCAAATCATCAATCTATTTCTCTTTATCTCCATAGCATTCATGGCAAAGAAAATCTACAAAAATATCATTTAGCCGATTAAGGTTTCAGGATTTTTGCATACTCTGTCGGCTATGTTCTGTAGCTGGCCTTTGTAGCACTCCCTGACGGCGCGCTGGGCCAAGTTGGAGCACAGTGAAAGGATCTTTTGAGTGTACTGCCTGTAGCGGTTGCCGAGGTTGTCTTCAGCATACAGTGTACATGTGCTTGAGACATATGCTGTCACGGAAAAACACATACTGGTTTGGGTTGGAAAATCCACTGAGTTTATGACGCGGGTGCAGATGGCGGAAGCAACGTCAGACATGACGCTTCGCTTCATAACCTCGTCTTCAGCCAGAGAGCGAGCTGTGAAAAAAAAATTAAGCGGCCACACAGCCATGATTATGTTTCATAATTTTTTTTCAAAATATTTGAAAATCATGCACCCAAAGGTGGTGATCAGATTCACGTTGCAAGAGACAAACATAAAAAAGTTGATACTTGAACATGTGCGTAATGGGCCCAAGGTTTAGATCAAACAATAAACAAACAAACAAAAAAAGGAATATATCAAATAAGACATCACAGGAAACAACGTTTTTCTTTTTCATATTCCAAAGACAGGTTGGCGTGTGGTGGGCGAGAAGTTTTCGATGAATACTAATATTTCTGACTTTCAAATGCCTTTTCCTTCATTAAGACCCCAAATATTCTGAGTTTGCTGCTCGGTCAAATTTTGATAATGATAGCTGACAACTGTTGGAGATGCTGGGATTTTATGGAATCGCCATAAGTTATCTGTTACAAGTAAAAGGGCTGCTTTGGCATTTTATATTAGTCTTTTATTCTTATAAGTGCAGAAGAAGAATTACCAACATGCTGGAAGGCGGTATCAGCTGGTTTAGTCGTTGCTACAGCAACCAAAGTAACGAGGATCAAAACCTTCATGGTACGGCGTCTGAAGAACGAACCTGCTGGAAATATGTAACATCAGTTGATTGAACACAAAGTTCTTCCAAACTTAGAGTTACGAGAATTTTTAGTACAACATTTCACAATTCTTTTAGTAGGCATGCCAATGCAAAAATTGTGTTGTTATTATAGACGTTGGTTCAGTCGAATAAAGACGATACATTTGCAAAAGTGTACTAGTGAGTTGCTGTTATGTAAAGACTACTAAAACAGGAACAAACCTTGAAAACGGTCTTAAAGCGATTGCAGTTGGTAAACAAGTCCGCTGACGTAAATACTAAGAGCCTCGGTGGTTCTTTAATAATTAAGGTTCTTGCTATGTGAAGCTGTCCACGCGTCAAGGACTCTGTCTCGTCACGATATTGTCCCTGTTTATATGATAACCCAAAATGACACGTGTGAATTTTGTGTCCCATATCAATTTTAAGGTCAATCTATGTCCAAATTTAAGTTACAGATAGTTCTGATATATTAAGTTGATCGGAAACAAAGTGGGATTTAGGTTTTAACACACACACGCGCACACGCGCGCACGCGGTCGCGGATCGGACACGTGAGAAACAGAATGCAAAAGTTTTACTAAAAAAACCTGTGTTTAATTTTTTGCACTAATATCTAAATAAGTAATATACATAAAAGAAATGCCTAAAAAGCTATTTGACCAATTGAACGTATGGTGCGTTTTGCCACCGGTTAATGTCTCTAGTGGGTTAATGTCATATTGTCCAAACAAATGTTCATATCGTTATCAAAGTGAGATATCGGAGAAACATGCACACGCGTGATGCTTACTTAGAGTTGAGCAAGAAGATTAAGTTAAGGATATTATATAAGTGGACTGCGACAGAGTGCGTTCTCTCTCTCTCTCTCTCTCTCTCTCTCTCAGAGACCTCTTTTGTTAGTATTAATCATGAAAGCAAAAAAAAAAAAAAAAAAAAAAAAACGGGTATTTTAAGCTAAAATTTTATTTTTGCACCATAACTACCAATAAAATCTTCACATAAACCGGTAATCTAACCAACGACAATGTCGATTTTCCCACACACGGGGCAGGGACAGAGAACACACCAGAGAGGAAGTTGCCAAGGTACTGGTCAGCAAGCTTTATGCAGAATTTGTAGATATAGGAGTACAATTGGTCACATGCGCCATTGGTCACACCCATCACAGAATCCATGACGGGTTTGAAGATGGCGGCAATGACGTTATTGATTATGTACACCCCTCTTCATAACCTATTAGGCAGAGAACGGGCTTCGAAAACGTGCATACAGCCATTCCGATATGTCGTAACATTAATCTTTAAATTTCATTTTTGATAAGTTTGTGATCAGGTTACATGTGCAGTCGAATAAAAAACAAAACGGGTTTATTCCTGATTAGTGAATTAGGAAGAGAAAATAAAAATGAATTAAAAAACTTTCGTAAAAACGACTTTCTTTTTGTAATGCAAAGAAAAGTGGGTTTATTTTTGGAGGAAAGTAAGTGATGAATATAATTTTTTCTGACTTTCTAATTGCTAATCCTTTTTTGAGACTACACGTTTCCAAATTGAGATTTTTTCCGTAAGCCATCACTTTAAAGAGTTATTTAGAGATTTGTTTTAAAGTTTGTTTTTTTTGAAATAGGTAAGAGAAAATTGTTAATTACACAAAGTGGAATCATTGAAAAAAGTCTAAATACCAGGATGCTCAATGGAGTTCTCAGCTGGTTTAGCTGTTGCCATGCATTATTATTTTGGTATTGCCAACGGTAGGTGCTGCGTAAAATTCCAAACTGTACCGTACTGTACCGATGATAATAGTTTCAATTTCTAAAATGTTAAAAATCTGAGAACCAGGTACATTTTATTGCTTGATATTTTTAACTTTTACGTATACATTAAAACATACTCTGTATGCGCCTTTTCATATTAACTCACAAACAATAGAATTAGAAACCTCTCTCTATTTCTCGCACTGACACACACACACGTGCGCATGCGTACACGAACACTGAGTAACGCACATTGAAATAAACATGTACGTTATGCAAATCATCAATGTTTTTTTAATAATTATTGTCTTTCTTGCATATATTTCTGGCACAGGAAATTTACAAAAAGTTCATTTAGCCGATCACAGGTAAGTTGATAAGTTTATTGCATACAATGTTTAAGTTATGCAAATCATAAATGTATTTCCTTTGTCTTCCTTGCAAGTATTTTTGGCACAGGAAACATATAAAAAGTTCATTTAGCCAATCATTGAGCTGGCAAATTTGGGGCAAACACTGTCGGCGAGGTTTTGTACGGTTCCTTTGTTGCACTCGTTGAGGGCGAGTTTGGCCAAGTTGGAGCATATGGATGTAAAGGGAGGAGTGAACACAGCAGAGGGGTGGCTGCCAAAGCACTGTTTGCATTTGCTGTCGACAGAAAAGGAAAGAAAGTCACATCCACCATAAGGTAGAACGATCACGGAGTTCATGGCGCAGACGCAATTGGCTTTAACTACAACACTGATGATATCCCTCTTCATAATCTTATCTTCTGCCAGAGAGCGGACTGAAAAAAAATTACACACCTACTGGTGATATTTCATAAAATCATATCTTTAAAGGTCATTTTCGCTTAGACTGTGATCATATTTACGTTTGATAAAAAAAAAAAATACTCCTGAATAGTTTATACGGAAGACAAAATAAGAAGAAAAAAAAAACACCGGAACATGCCCCCCCCCCCTAAAGTTGTTCTTGAAATAGGCAAGAGCAAATTGTTGATGACACCAACTGAATTCATTGATTTTTAAATCAATTAAAATTAATTAGAGAATCAGGTTAGAAAACTTACCAAGACGCTGAATAGAGTTCTCAGCTGGTTTAGCCGTTGCCACGGCAACCAAAGCAACTAGGATCAAAACCTTCATGGCAATGGAATGTGCAGAACAAACCTATCGAAAAATGATATAATAGCCGGTTAAACACAAAATCCTTACAGTTATAGAATAAATAATTTTTTGTTTTGTTTTGCTTTACAAATCTTAATTTTGGAAGGTCTTATCACAGAGGTGAAAAACAAAATGTACGTCGTTATTGGTTCCAATTATTGAAGGCAATTAATCCTAACTACACTTTTCATTGCAAGAAAAAGCAAAAACAAACCTTGAAAAAGCTTTGGTGAATGCCGTATTTGACTGAGTTTGCCGAAGTACGCAGTATACCGTCAGCTGTAGCTATATAAAGGTTCAGCGAGCACATACCCACGCATCGGGGGGTTTGGCACGATTTTGCCCTCGTTTGTGTGGGATTTCCTAACCATAAGTACGTTCTTATCAATATTAGGGTCAACGCATCCTCGAAAATACTAATAAAGTGACTGATGGGCAAATTTGCTTAGAAAGTAATAAAATCAAATGTTCATACCATTATTAATGAAAGATTTATCGCAGAAACGAACACACGCATGATGCTTACTTAGAATTTAACAAAAAGATTAAATAAAGATCTTATGTTTGTGAAGAGAGACAGAGTGCGCTTTCTCTCTCTCTCTCTCTCTCAGATACCTTTGGTGTTAATCGAAAAAACGAAAGCAGAAGAGACAGGCATTTAAAATTAACGCTTTATTTTTTTCACCATAAGTACCAATAAAATCTTTACACGCATAAACCATTGGTCTAACCAATTCTAGCTGGCAGCCGGCGAAGTTTTGCACGGTTTCTTCGTTGCACTCCTCGTTGACGGCGAGTATGGCCAAGTTGGAGCACATGGAAGCAACAGGGGAAGAGAACAGACCAGAGAGGAAGCTGCCAAGGTACTGGTCAGCAAGCAGTGTACAGGTGCTGTCGGCAGAAGAGGACAGAAGGGCACATCCGCCATTGGTCAGACCGATCACAGAGGGGATTCCTCCCCAAGTACTGATTACTGACCCCTACATTTATTTCTATCTTTATTTACCTTCACATATACAATTTCATTACGTTGGCTTCCCAGCCAGGTGGGTTGCCGGAGTGGCCACTTTAATTCAATTCCACATATGATAGAGAAGACTTTCGGACTGAGTTCTAAATGACTTCCTATAATGGAATTGGATCATCATGAATCGTTCTGTCTTAAGTTGAATTGGTCTGACATACAGCCTTAGTAAACGATTTTATGCAATTCCAAGAAAAGAGTACTATCTTAACAAAAATGACGGGAAAAAGGTAAGCTACCGTTTTGTATCTATAATGTATCTTTGAGGTTATAGCAAGAGATTCGATCACAATAAATAAATCCTAAATAGACTTCACTTTATTTGTGATAACCAGTTATATTTTTTTAAAGACCAACATAACACGTTGAGTCTACATACCAAGATGCTGGATGGAATTCTCAGCTGGTTTAGGCAATGATTAACACTAGAGAAAATCTGTTTAACTGTCAGTACTATGGAGAGAGGTTCATTTAAATATAACTGTATACAACCTGAGATCAACACAGTGGACATAAACCTTTTAAATGTCAGTAGGCCTATTGTGAAACGAAATGTCATACGAAAAATACCAGATCCCTATTTACAACAAGTGTCAATGTTGACTGGAACAAAGATAGATAGCGTATAAGTTGATCAGCATGGTGGTGCCATCTACAACAGCTGGCTTAGCAGGCTTTGTACAAATGTTGTCACGTGCCATATCACCAAACAGACATTTGTGGCCGGTGTGAATTCATCAATTTTGCATGTGCACAACTAATCGATTCAGAAAAATGAATAAAAAATTTCCATTGGGCAATAGGAGTTATTACCCACACCCTGTCCACATAGCCCGCTGGGAGTCTATAACAAAATTACCACCTGATATCGGAGGGCTGTTGTGTTCTGGATGTCCAGCAAGGTCACGGTGAGGTCAAACGGACAGATCAGCTTGTAGCTGCCAAGACACACAAGCCAGTAATAGTTTTCACACAGACTTCAACCCGGCCACATTTTTCAAAATGTCACAAGCAATACATTGTAGGCAACGCATAGAAATATAAGTTATTCTACTTAGTCACCGAAAAAAAGTTCTCGAAATTATTATAGAATCCGCGCTTGCCACCAGACATAAACGGATTTCAGTGTTAGCCATACTCTGTTATAATCTCTTAAAAGAT